TTATATATATATATATACGTATATATATACTTTAATATAATACGTTATATAATTTTATATTTAGATAAATAACGTAAAATATATACTATTATTAATAAATATATACGTATTTATATTAATATATATACGTATATATTAATATATCAAAGTATATAGTAAAATATATTATATTATAGTATATAAATATATATATTTTATATATAGAGTATATATAGTTATAATAATTTCTATAAAATTTATAATATTTATATACGTTATTAATATATTTACAATATAATATTGATATATATAAATATATATATATACGTATATATATATACTATATATATAAAAAAATATAGTTATATTTTTTTTTATTATTACACACCGGCCGATTCCTGCACAAGGCAGGGTGGCCCGAAAAGAAGAAACTTTCACATCATCACTCCACACTGTACTTGCCAGAAGGGTGCTTTCATACAGTGATTTTTAAACTGCAACTTAACACCTCCTTCAGAGTGCAGGACTGTACTCTACATCTCAAGGACTCAAGTCGGCTGCCGGTTTCCTGAATCCCTTCATAAAGTTAACTTGCTCACACTCCAAAGCACGTCAAGTATTAAAAACCATTTGTCTCCATTCACTCCTATCAAACACGTACGCATGCCTGCTGGAAGTTTCCAAGCCGCCTCGCACACAAAAACCTCCTTACCCGCCTAGAATATTATATATATAATATATATTACATGAGTACTATAATATAAATACTATATAATATATTACCTCATATATATATATACGATATATTGGATGCATAGTAGCATTTGATATATATATAGTATTAGGGATAGCTATACTATGATAATATATAAATATAAATATATATTATATATAATATATTTATATAATTTATTATAATTTAGTAAATATCATAATATACTATATATACAACATATTACTATAATTATATAAATACGTTATATATTATATATATATATATACGTATAATAATTAAGATATATTAGATATATATATACATGGTTAGGCTACCATATACTAAACGACTATATACATGAGTATATATATTATTTACTAAATATATATGTAGTATTTATGTACGTATTATATAAACTATATATAATATATTATATATATATAAAATGAAGAAAATAACTATAATATATATAAAATATGGATTTGAGTTTTTTTAAATTCGTATATCTTAATATATATGTTTTTATTAATGATATTTTAACGATATTTAAAATATTGACATTATAAGATATGGAGAAATTGCCAATTTAATGATAATGTTTTATATTATTAAATAAACATATTTGTTTTCAATTCGATGATTGTCATTACGGTAATTGTAGGATTCAACTTTCAAGCTAACACTGGTGAAGCAGCCCTTGTGGAGCATTTTGAGGGATGAAAGGTTGATACACAGGGTTACTGGAGACGACGTATGGTGAGTTGCTACCTTATATCCCTGATGTGGACGCGCTATTTGCCCCTGGACGACTGCTCCGACTCTTCAAGGCAAAAACCCCCCTCCTCTCCCCCCCTTTGAGAAACCTCCTTTCCCCCTGGCTTTTTCCTCAGATCTCCTCACACACTTATAAAAAAAAATGCCTTATTACTGACGCTCCAAAAATTTTTTCTTTTTTTCGATGTTTTTGTTGGAGTATTCAGGGGTTGCAGGGGATACTCCAAACTTTCTGAAATTTTTGTGACCCCTTCCTCTTGGGGCCCCATCCTAGATATTCTTTGAACTTGTATGTTCTTTCCCGTACCAATCTAATTATTTTCATGCCCCCAACACACAAGACTGAAAGACGCATTTTCCAATTTTCTCGTGGCTTTATGCCTTTTAGGGTTTCAGTGCTCCTGGCCCCATTCGTATCTCAAATACTCTGTCCCAGTTCAATCTTTTTAATTCCTTTCTTTTTGTATCATTATCTTTTTGACCTCACTAGTCTCTTTTTTTGTGGTTAATTTTTTTCCCTCATCCATCCCTCAAATTCTATAAACAATCTCATGGGGAAACCTTTTTATTTTCTCTGTTTCTTTTTTGTTATTTAGATGCAGGGCGCGGGTATTCAGAAGTGGGCCTAATGTAAATTTTGTTCCCTTTTCCTTTGTGATTTGATTCTGTTCCGAAGTGATTCTTAGGTTAACTCATTTTGGTATGCCGTTAAAGTTATGGGCTAATATGTTTCTGTATGTTTGGTGCGATCCCCACCCCCATAAATTCTGGAATTTACGGCCCTCCCCTTTAAGTTTTCTCCCGGGGGATTTTTAGGTCCCTTTTTTCAATCTTTGCACTGATCATGATTTTATTCAAGTAGTCACTTTCCTGACCCCGTTTGCAGTAATTTCAAATTTTTTTTTTTTTTGAGCCATTCCCTTTTTACTATTGTTGTCTTATTTAATTTTTACGTTGCAAACTCCCTGTTATTCAGTTTTTCCAGCAAGTCGTTTTCCATTCGATATCTTATACCGTGGGGGTCATTATATGACAAAAACCCGCCTCGGAACACCTGTCTATTTCCTCACAAACCTTACTTACCCCACCTTATCTCTACTAATTTTTTCTTTTACCTGAAAATTTTTTTTTAGATGCCAGTATGCCAGTTTGAGGGGGCTGTTTTTTGATTTGCGTTTGTTATTTCTTTTTTTGTTTTTTGGGATTAATTGCTCTTTTACGTTGTTTGGTATTTATCTTTATTTTTTTCGCTTTTAATATCATCCCAATGGGCCGCAAATATATTCTCATTCTCCAACCCAGGGGTTTATTTTTATATATATATTTTTTTATAATTTTATTATTATATATTTATTTATATATATTTATGTATATATATATTATATATATATGTATATATAATATAATTATATATACAATGTCTATAACAAGTGCCTTTAACAACTGGTAACTAAGAAATACACGCACAAAACAGAGCTACAAGGACGTTAGAGAGTTCGTAGATGTCTGTGTATTAGAAAAATGGAATGCATGTAATGAGAACGTAGCAGTGAAAAAAAAATAGATAGTTTCGAGAGTAGGAATACTAAAGGCCAAGAGGTCAGAAATTAGTAATGTTTGTCGACGAAGTTTAATAAGCTCTGAAGAGCCTTAACTAGGAATTTCTTAGGACGTTATACAGGACATACCAACAACCTGTCTTGGAAAATGGTGCGCCACTACACAACCCGCATTGATGAAGCAAACTCAAATTCAGAACTAAGTTTTGTTACGAGACTAGTACCGGAGCTAAATGATTTAAAGGAGAGACTAGAGGAGCTCATAACCCAGGTTGTGGGCAGACTTCCATAATAGTTATCACACCCTGGCTGGTCTGACACTCCGAGTATTGCTTCAGTTTCGAATTAAAAACATATACATTAACAACGGTTATAATCACGATACAAGAGCTACGTTCCGAGACTGGGTGGAATTGTAAGTTATGACAATGACCAAATTAATGTCATACTCGGGCCAAGCAGTAGGAGCGGCGATGGTTATAGTTTGAAGAAAGACTTTAATGCTGAGATTAAACTAAAATAGAGAAAGACTTGAATTACATTATTGTAAGAAAGGTTTTCACCCTTTGTGGCAACACTCCATTGTTGTATTGTGCAAAATTCACTTTCATTTGGATCACTAAAAACGACTCATTCAGACGCACGTAATCGCGTATCTTAGTATCATATGTGGCTGCAGATGTGTGGAAATAAACAATTTTATATAAGGAGGTTATCTAAGTTATAAATATCCAACACCAACAAGGCGGCTTTACAGTGCCCAAGAATTTGGCAATTACCAACCAGTTTGCGCTGCATGACTTCATGCGAGGAGGCATGGGGAGGTGAAACTAACAGCCTTCTACGAACCCATGAGACAACAGTCTTTTCCAGATGAGCGGTGTAAATTTGAGTGTCAGGTGTGATAAGCCTGGTGACGAAGTGTGTAAAGACTAACACTGTATGCGATAGTCAGTGAAGTAACCTTCAAGATAACGTATACAAGGTTTTGGTTGATGTCCTGGTAAATAGGACTGTTGGTGCTAGTTGTATGATCAGCAGTGGTTTAGAGAAACCTCTCGAGTCTTCTGTTAAAAGACGGTTATTGGGTTTAAGTCTGATGAATTACTTTTACGTGTACTTAGGCACCTGGGCTTTTTATTTGATTTTTTTTTTTTACCTTCTAGCACGCCTCCTGCTCTCATACAGTGTACTTTCCATCTTCAGGTTTGGAACCAGTACCTGCATATTTTTCTGGTATAAATTTTTGATACTTCGCCTACACTCTAGAAAGTGCAACTTTAAGAGTTTTGTGTTTGAATTTAGAGATTTAAATTGGCATGGGAAGTGAAAGTTCTTCGTACGTTCTCCGGGTTTGACCTTTGCCCACCTTCAATGGGACTGAGTGTACAGCAATATTTTCGTATCTGAAAAAAAGGTTAAAAGGCTTTTGTAATAGAACCTATTATTCTCCATGCAGTTGCGTTTCTTGAATGTAAGGTTTGAAAATTAAATAGACGCACTTACACTATAGTTGATTTTTGTATTTATACATGTTTAATTTATAAACATTAATAATTAACCGATATGCAAAGGCTTTAACCCTATGCTCGTAACTTCAATAGCTGCGCCAGGCAAACTTAATAACACAATAAACATGACCAGTAGTCCATGATGACCGAAGATTATTGGAGGATGAGAATAATTCGTGCTTCATAAATGCCTTACGATACAACATGCTTCATTATGTAAAGATAAACTTAAGACGTGTGTACAGTATACATAGTGAATACATTATTCGCGGTACCATGCTGGATCAAATCACACTTTTCATTACTAATGGATTCATTGTTAAAAATATATATATATTTTTTTTTTTTTTTTTTTTTTTTTTTTTTTTTTTTTTTTTTTTTTTGTGGTTTCTGGGTATGATGTTTTTGCACTTGTGTTGTAATAATCACCTGCCTTGTACACAAGTTTGTCTTGGAGGATTTGCTTCACTTCAGTTTTTGTAAGAATCAGACACTGTGTAGTGGTTATTATTTATTCTTCCACGTTTACCCTACAAAAATATAACGTCATTAGTGCTGGAGTGTTCTGGGTTGGTCCTCAGTGGTATCCTCCGTGTCCGTAGCCCTTGAAGAATGTGACGGCGGGGCCGTAGTGTTTAGGGTGCTGAGCCTTGCCGTAGTAGCTGACCTTGGCCACGTAGCCCCTGTAGTGGTCAGCTGTGTAGTCCACCTGCGGCAGAAGTCTTATGTTATCTCCTAACATTAAGACCATGTAATTTTCTGATATTTACAGTAAACAGTAATTGAACTGAATGTTCGGAGTGAACACGTACCCTTTGTTTGCGGCCGTCGGGGAGGTCGACGGTGTAGGAACCGTACACATTTTTACCGTCGGACTTTTCGTGCTGACCGAAGTTGGTGCCCTTGTAGCCGTCATGCACATTGTAGTCGTAGTAGTATGGCAGAGGCTCCTGGTGCGAGAAATATTAACTTTAGACTTTCGTAGGTTGTATATATTTAGAACTTACAATGGCTCATGACAAGGCTTGCGCACACGTGTGCATCGACGCGTCCACAAACAAGACTATGAATTAAAATAAAAAAAAGGACGTCTCTTATCTAATGAAAGGTACTTGAGCTACGAATATGGACTAATAAATATGTTTTTGATCGAAGATGAAAGGAATAGACAGCTATATGTGTGTGTGTGTGTTATAGATGTGCAGGATTAGGGAGGAAAAAAGTTGTAATGAATGATTAAAAACAAACGGTTGCAGAATTGTCATTAAATTAATGTTTTCACTGATATTGTAAATACACACATACAAACATTCACCTACCGACTTGTAGACTGGTCCGTAGTCACCTGGGTTGGCCATAACTACTGCCGTCACCACCAGAACGACAAACACCTGGGGAAGATATGTCATTCTTAGTCAAGGTCCTGCTAAGAATATTAAATATTCTCTGAATTTGAAGTGACCCATCCCTTTGTCACAATCGCTTTGGATCGTAATTATTAATTAATAGTTTTTAAGATTGTTTCGTTTGTGTGATTTTTCAGAAGACGTGCGAACAAATAAATCAGTAAATTTATTCGTAAAAGAATCACTTTTTTTCTGTATTGTTGTATAACTTAATTGGTGGGTAGTTTTTATAGTAAAACATAATGTCTTAATGATTCAGCATCGGACTTGTTTCACATAAAAGCAGACCTTGAAGATCATGTTGTGTGTGTGTGTAAAGTTACTCTGGAGCTGCTGATCGATTGACTGATTGCTGTGGTGAGTTGCTCACTTTATATACCCGATGATGTTGACACTACCTGAACGTGGCTAGGGCGTCCAACTCTCCCAGTCACCTTCCTCTCAAATCTCCTTCTCCCCTTCCCCCTCTCCCAAGTCTCTTGACATTTCAAGTTTACATGTCTGGCCCCGCCAAATCTCCTGTCCAACCCTTTTCAACTTTTCCTAGATATTCCACTCCTGTTCTCCAGTAACTTTCTGCTTCATATCTGTCTTACCTGTGGCCGGTTTCAGAATCTCTCTTATCCTCGCATCCCGGTCCTGTTGACCGCCTGGTCAGCCAGGCTGTTTGTGCTAGCGGCCACAGGCCCTCAGCTTGTGGGATGGGCTGAATTTAAGAAAAAAAAACTGGAAATTGAACTAGGTTGTGTGGGATATGTGGGCCAGCGGGCCGCCAGCAACAACAGCGTGGTTGACCAGGCAAACACCAAACGAGCCTGGTCCAGGGCCGAGCTAGGAAGTATGAAAACTCTCGAAACTCTCATGGCATCGATAGGATCACGGAATTACGGATTAGGTATTTTCTCTTCGCAGATTTTGCTGTCATCTGTGTGCGAACCGCCTAGAGGAACAATACTCGTAAAGGTTTTTCTTGGCTTTGCATCTATGAAAAAGTATTTTGCTTTTTTCTAAAGTTCTTGAATTGCTTTTTGTATGATACGATTGCTTTTGCGTTAGCGATCTCTCGGGCCAGATGTATATCTTCTTGTTCTTCAGGAAGTGACTGGCACGGTGGGCCCTACATAGGTAAGGGCAACATGCTGTACAGCGTACTGCAAGATGTGAATATTTGGCCCTCCTTACACATTAAGTGTAACCTCCCACGGTTACCTGCTTGCGGGTGATCCTGCCACCCTATATATTGTTTGTGGTGTTCTACAAACCGTGGGACTTTAACGATTCGTTAATGGCTTCGAATGTATGTTTTACATCGATATTTTGTGAAAGTGAGGCGAAATTTTAGAGGAATCTTGTGTTGCTAGCAGTCTGATTAATTTTTAGCCGATGTGGAATATATTAATTTCCTATGAGAGTAAGTATAGCTTTATCTTCTGCTGTTTACAATGAATGATAATATTTTGGAGGCCTATAGCTTGTAAGTATGTGTTGTGCGTATTTTTGTTTATATACCGTATTATTAAGGGGAGCTCTGAATGACCTATTGGTCCCAGCGCTCGGTAAATTTTAAAACTTTTCTCCCCAACTTTTATCTGGTTCCCTCCCAATATCCCAGGATACCTCTTCTAAATCATCATGGCCGCTCCCTCCCAACTCACCTGGACCCTTTTCTCCCATGTTAGCATTGGCCATTTACGTTTTCCCCGAGTCTGCTGTTCCTGTGAGCCTTCCAAAATTTTTCTTGAGATCTGTTTAGGAGCTCCAGAACGTGCTCTTGCTGTGGGGGTGCCCAGTTTTCTCGTGGTGTTTGTATAGTGGCCGCCCAGTTTGATCTGTTTTCGTACATCAAACTTACACGTTCGGCTATATATACGAGGCTAGTCAATCTTAGAACAGCCTACCATTAAGGACTTAGTATATAACTTAGCATATCAGGCAAATCTTGCATTACGCGGCACAAGGATAAAGCTTTCACCTCATCAAACACGTCCAGAAGCTTGAAGAAGTTAAAAGTTTTAAAACATACTAGTCCCATAGTTGAGGAATGTCATATATGGAAATAGAGATGGCAGTTAAAAACCCAGATGGTGAGTAAGTAGGACAAAATAAACGAGGTGGTGGAGGGCTAAGAGTTTAGGAATCTGTATAGCCATTCGACGGTAGTTACGAGGCTTCGCCAGTACCTATGAGTCGACCACTCCGAAGGAAACTAGGCGACTCCATCACGGAGCTGTTCTAACGCGTGATGCCATGACTCCAGAATCGCTGTGTAAGAAACAAAGATTTGTATGCTCATTTACCTCGAAAACAAGATTGATCAAACCGCCATGAACTGTCGCAGCAGAGGAAAACAAGGCTATAGAACAAAGGGGTAATGTATCGCTAATAGAAACTTAGAAGGGCTGAAATGTTCGTTCGCGAAATTTAATCATGAATAGACTTTGGAACTGAGTGACCGATATTGTGGAGTCGCTCTTAGTACTTCAGTGATTAAGTACTTTAATTTAAACTCAGAGTATATACCAAGATAAAAATATAGGTAAATTTAATTTTCTAGTAAAGCATAAACGAAATGTAATTCATAAATGCAGAAATTTATTTGATAGAGGAAAAATTTGGATGCCTTTGTTATATTTTTTATATACTTCAAAAAAATCACGACAGGTACTGAGTTATTTACTTTTTTTTATCTTGAAATTTTTTTTTAACTCGAGCTTGAAATAAAATAAATATAAAGAATTAATTTTGTTTTAAACAAAAAAGTATAATTATAATAGATACCCGTGAGACTTGGAACAAAATATAAAGAAATTTAATGATATAATATAGGAAAAATAATTGCTCAAATTTGATAGTTTTTTTTTATTATTACCACTGCCAGAGTATTATGATGACGGTATGAAATAAAATATCGCTGAGCTCAGTGTGACTAGACTTGAGAATTTCGCTAAAATATGGCGGTGCAAGGAAGGTCATTATCTATTGTGTTCTCTGGTCATTGTTGTATTGTGAACACTGCTCTGCTACTTGACACTCTTACAACTTATAAAAACACTACTGCAATTGTTTTTGCTCTTTGTGTGTGTTTTTTCTCTTTACTCTGTGCATATACATATATATATATGGTGTGTGTGTGTGTGTGTGTGTGTGTGTGTGTGTGTGTGTGCCTCTTTTTCTCCCCTCATTTAATTTATAGGCTACTACTGTTTTATTTACTGGTTATTTTATTAATATTTTTGTCATACGTTTTGTTGTGGTATAAATGTTATATATATATATATATATATATATAAAATATATATATAATATAATATATATATATATATATATATATATTTTATATATAATTAAAAGATAACAAACTCTTACACTGTGTGCTATAATTTCAGTACAGTAATTCCATTTACAGTCACTGCCGTTACGCGGTAATTTAATCCTTGTATTTACTGGAAACTTGTAAGTACAGCTCATTGGTCGCCTTCTTCCATGGGTATCTTTTAGTGTTGTACCACTGGTGCTTGTTAACTTGCTCCATATGTATTTTTCTCCATGTTCCACTTGCGTTTGTCACCTTGTTCCACGTGTGTGTTTCATCTTGTTCCATGTTTACTTGTCGCCTTGTTACAATATTTTTTTTCATTTTGTTCCAAGTATATTTATTACTTTGTTTCACGTGTATTTATTACCTCGAACCACATGTATTTATCAAAGTATTATACATATATTTTTTATTTTGTTCGACATATATTTGTTTTCGTGTTCCATTTGTATTTGTCGCACTGTTCAAAATGTATGTCGCTTTCTTCCACATGTATTTGTAATCGTGTTCCAAGTTTGTTATCGCCAGTTGTTGCTCATTCTGGAGTTATCCTCCCCGCGAGTTGGTCATAACAGCCGGCTAGATAACGTCCTTCCCGTTAACGTAACTTACTCTAAAACAACCCAAGTTCGGTTTGAATAACGGCCAGAAAGGTGCCACTAAAATAACCCAAGTTCGGTTATATTAAATTCCAAGAAGATGCTGATTCGTAGGTCGCTCGAAAAGTTCACTAGTTAGTTATTATGATGAATAAGGTTTGCACAAGGGAATAGAATCCACAATATCTCTCGTGATGGATATATGAGGGAGAATGTTTTACTAGTCCTCCCTTTCGCTCTCCACGTATATATTCATTTTGTAAAAGCCAAAAAAACAGCAGTTTTCTATTAAGCTTAAAAGTTTTTTTTTTAACCCGAGAGCAGCAGCTGTGTATTAACACATCCACTCTGTAGACACTAAGAACATCAGTTAGATTTCTCAGTGCAAAAGAAGAGAGAATGAGGAGGAGGATGTTTGTAAAGTGGAATTTTATGCCATGGTGAAGAATGTCGCATGCTTTGAAGAGGGAAAGAAGATCTAAGCTTCTGACCAGAGTCCCGGAGAGAGGGGTATCCAACATGAGCAACAAAGAAATCACGAGGTGAGAGTGGCTTTCAGAAACAGGAATGTTGGTTAGTGTGAAACACTTTTCTTTTACATAAGCTACGAGAAAGAGCAGTTTGCAGTAGTTGGTAAGGAGTGTTTTGAAGTGTCTTCGGAATAATTTAAATTAATGTTTGTTCCCAAGATGAAAAACTGACTAAAACAATCTGGTTACGACAGGTACAAGTGTACACTGTTAAACGGCACAGGGATACCAGAAGCGCCACTGGTTACGACAGGTACGAGTGTACACTGTTAAACGGCACAGGGATACCAGAAGCGCCACTGGTTACGACAGGTACGAGTGTACACTGTTAAACGGCACAGGGATACCAGAAGCGCCACTGGTTACGACAGGTACGAGTGCGCACTGTTGAGCGACACAGGGATACCAGAAGCGCCACTGGTTACGACAGGTACGAGTGCGCACTGTTGAGCGACACAGGGATACCAGAAGCGCCACTGGTTACGACAGGTACGAGTGTGCACTGTTGAACGACACAGGGATACCAGAAGCGCCATGCTCTTTGTCTATCGTAAAATTAGTTGGGGCAAATATTATTCTCCCTCTGCAGAAAACCCGAGTATTTTCCGTAGCATATTTTTTGTTTAGTCTCTCATAGCCTTAGATCTGTCTGACTTTGTGTCCGGAAGTCTGTCAACATTTGTCACCATTGTAATTACATCCATGTATTTTTCTCTCTGGCTTTGTCAAAAAAATGTAATTAGAAATATTCTGTGTTATGAGTTTTTATTGACTGCAATAACATAGCACTCTCCTTTGTAGGCGCCGAGCTTTGTAGGATTTGCAAAACAACTAATACGCACGCACCCTTAATAGTCCACCATCCAAATAGGCTAAGAATTCGTAATAGTCCTTTTTTTTTTTAGGTTTGTTACTCTTAGGTTTTTCTGATACATGATCTGATAAATGTCACCATGGCAGCATTGATCATTTTGCCGAATTCGCAAAAATCCATGATGATTTCCACCACGACAATGTGTGTGTGTGTGTGTGTGTGTGTGTGTGTGTGTGTGTGTGTGTGTGTGTGTGTGTGTGTGTGTGTGTGTGTGTGTGTATAATACACACATACCCAGTATAATTTTATGCCAAAATTTTGTTTCTTAATTGTTAGTTGGCAATAATTACATCAACGAAAATAGCCTAAGCCAACAACGATGGGGACTAAAGCGTCTGTTTGACCTTTGTTAGGGTTAATCAATGCAACGATTATAATCTTTGTTGAGAAGTTGTCGGCCCTGAAGTTGTGGACGATGTTAGAAAGTATGTAATTATCAGGACGAAACAGAGGAATGTGTCAGCTATATACATAGTCCCAACAATGTCCACAACTCACAAGAGTTGAAGAAAGGACACACGTTGCGGAACAAGCTTTTCTTGGGACATTTCGCATTCTTAAAACTTTATATAGTCTAGAGTTTATACTAACGAAACGTCTTAATAACAAATTAAATTTGTTTTGCGAGTTGTGTCCTCTCTCCAGTATTGTCAGCAGAACTCCATAAGGGCTCATCTTCCTCTGTCAACACAAAGGGAGCGAATCAAACCGTTTCATTCACTTTTGAGAAAAATGTTCACATAATTTCATTATTATTGTTTATTCTTCGCTGTGTGCCCTACAAAGATATATCAATCATGCTAGAAAGTGTTTCCGGGTTGGTGCTCAGTGGTATCCTCCGTATCCGTAGCCCTTATTGAAGAAGGTGATGGCGGGGCCGTAGTGTTTAGGGTGCTGAGCCTTGCCGTAGTAGCTGACCTTGGCCACGTAGCCTCTGTAGTGGTCAGCTGTGTAGTCCACCTGCAACAGAAGATTTATGTGATCATTTGACAAAACTGTATTTTATGGATGGTAAAATTAGTACAGGAGTATCCAAACTGAGTGCAGATAGTTTAAAGTGGTTGAACGTACCCTTTGTTTGCGACCGTCGGGGAGGTCGACGGTGTAGGAACCGTACACATTTTTACCGTCGGACTTCTCGTGCTGGCCGAAGTTGGTGCCTTTGTAGCCGTCATGCACATTGTAGTCGTAATAGTATGGCAGAGGCTCCTGGTGCGAGAAACATGGCATTTGAACATTCTCCACTGAGAGTGACTTCAGAACTACTACACTTTTTGTTTTAAAACAGTTTTAGCGGATCACTAGATAAATTGACACTTGTAGATAAGTGTATTAAAACTAAATAAAAGCAACAATGATAGGTTAGCAAAGATATGGTCAATTTTAAGGAGCAGAAGCAAGGTGTTATTCAGGATGCTTTTTAATGATATGCAAAGCCAGTTCTAGAGTAAGCTGCGCCAACAGATTCTTCAAACTTTCGTATGCTCAAAAGTTTAAAATGTTTCCCACCCGACTGTTCTGGTTGTTGAAGGTCATGAACTTTGATTAAATATTAAAAGAGCTAGAGCTTAACAGAGTTGAGGACGGAATAACCAGAGGAAATATGAATGTGAATTTGGAGATAGTCAGTGGTATTGACAATGTGGTCAAGGAGACTGACATCCGGGAAGCAGACCAAGGGGACAGAGGAGGAGATTATTTACCCAAGTGAACAGAAGCTTGAAACGATGTGAAGCTTTGCAACTAAAATCTCAGAACTCAGTGATGTATAGTTTAAGGGAAGTGTGAGGGGACTTTGAAGGAATTGAACCTGACTACTCTGAAAGAGAATATTAAGTGGAGATATGGTAACGACATAAAATATTCTCCAAGGAATAGATATGGAGGCTATGGACAGTGCAAAAATACAGGTCATTGAGACAAGATAGAAATTAAAATCACAGACGAGTCACTGGGATCCGAAGTACTTTTTAGTTTGGGTGTTAAGGAAGTGGAAGGAACTGGATATGGAAGTATAGAGGCGAACTCGGTAAGTGGACTAAAATAGCGGCGTTGGGATAGTGTGGTTACTGTCTATGAGTGAGAGATAATTCGTCTTCGCACACACGGATGACTGACCAAACCCTCGGCTATTAAAGCTGGTCAGAGACTGGGCCGCGGGGTCATGATTATCGGAACCATCAACAGGTGAATAACAGGTAAAGGTACGTACTGATTTGTATACTGGTCCGTAGTCACCTGGGTCTGCCATAGTCACGGCCACCACCACCAGGACCAAGCACACCTGGTGAAGATGAGTCCTCATGCGTCAAGGCAATGTTGAGTCAATAAATGTTTAATATCAGTTATCATGAGTTGTGGGTTATTAGATAATGATGAATTATCACAGTGCTCAACAAGTCGTTGCAGCAAAAACATGTACACTATTTAAGTATATAAAAACATATCACATTAACTTCTGTTTTTTATGAGTTTGTTTTCACTTAATTTTATTTAAGTTTCTCCTGTAAATTAACAATTAAGGTATATTCTCAAGAAAATGTATACTATTATTTTATCCGAGTACCACTGAGAGTAATATCAAATTGTTCTCTAGAATTGTGTGTGTGTGTGTGTGTGTGTGTTTTTTGGTAATTGTAAGTTGTCATGATAACGAGGCAGACCTTGAAGAACATGACTGTCAGTGTGTAGGGTTGTTAGACTTTAGCTGCTGGTCGTGTGAATGACTTGAGTGTGAACTTCTCTGCTTATATACCCCCGCTGACACTGACGTTGTCAACTGGTTCTCCTCCACCTCTCCCCCACCTATACTCTCTCCAACCCTCCCATCTCCTCCCTTCTCCCTCACCTCCGCCTCATCTCTCGCCTCTCAGTGAATCTACATTGTTTCCATGTTGATATATGTACGTATTCTTATATATAAATGAATCCAAATTTCTCCCATATTTTTCTCTTCTTTCCTGTATATAATTTATGTTGCCCCGCTCTATGATAAGAGATATTTTCATAAAATTCTATTTCTGCTGTATAGAGGAAAGGCCAACCTGAGAGATGATAATTCCCAAGTAATAATACCTCTAGCTCTGCTGGAACGAAACCTTGATGCTCCATTATTACGGAACCTCTACTGGAATACTGCTGAAGTTTCCCATCTCAGGCATTCAGATATTAATACTATGTAAAAAATCTGCCCTGTGTGAAGACATGCAACTATCATATAGAACACACAACAGCACATTGCTATGTATACAAATAAATAAATTAGGTTCGTGTGTGAGGTGCAAAAATCCTGTATATAAGATCCCTGTTGCTTAATTTTCTTCATTGTTCTTTCATCATAAAATTACTTGTAATTTAGTTGTCTTTCATTGTAGTTATATTACTTTCTTGTGATTTTTTTTTTTTTTTTTTTGCATAAGGGAATAATTGCGGCTGGAACTTGTCAGACGTATGTTCAACACAGATGACCACTGACGTTCTCAAAAGAACTTAATGGAAGCATTACCTGCTGCTAACTTCACTTTTATATCGTTCCCGACACTAACTCTAGTCCAGCAGTAAAGCCCTACATTATAATGTTATTGCAGACTCAGAAATCACAATATTATGAATGGAACAACATGGGAGAAATGAATAACAGGGCCAACTTGCTGAATGATGCACCTGCACTTTATTAACAATCAGGAGGCGGAGGCTGAGATACCAGGGATATCACTTAACCTCCAGACCTGCGTCCAGTAGTAATACCTGCCATTTATGAAGGTTTTTCTTGGCATCATGGGTGTAATTTTCTAAAGCACTTACGAGATGAAGTCTGTTTTTTTTTTAAGTAGGCTAAAACGAGCAGAAAATCAGTATGTTGGGTTTTCACTTCAACGAAAAAGTTTGCCTTATTTTTTTTGACGCGTTTTGACACTCGTAGGATTAAAAGTATGTTGAATTAACATAGGCTAGACAACTCATGGATAGAACATTTAGGTGCGCAAAATCTCGGTCTCTTTTTTTAATAGGCTGTGACCAAAACGATCCTTGCTTTATAAATCATTTAACCCTTACGATTCCAGAATGTTAGAAGCTGGCTAATCAGGTAATATGTGGGAATAGGCAGAGCTTGCTCTTCATAAGCGGCAGTGCTCAAGGTCGAGATAATCAAGACATGCTTTGTATAGTACTCTCGTTTATCTGTTGTTCCAGTGTCTGACGATGATTTTTAAGAATTCTCTCTCCGGGAAAAAGGAATTAATGTACAATTCTTATGGATTTCATCACACATTGGGTTACTCCATGATAAAGTTGACACGTTAGCCAAGAAAGGTACCATGAAGGAGAATGTAGAATATGACTTAGGTGTATGTGCTTAACATCAGGAATAATATTAGGAGAGGAGTAAATAATGAAACGTATTATATGAATGCAATTGGGAGCCTGAGTAATTCTTTAACACACTGACAAAATGAACGTAGACAAGTATGTTTATGGAGCAGCTATGCAGATGTGAACAGACTGACTGCTGTTGTAGTTACAAGTACTTCTGGCAGTCACGCAGATGATCGAGCAATGTGCTTAATTGTTCATTTATTGAGGACTATAGAGAGAGTATAATAACCTGTGTGACATGTCAAGATCTTATTAATGAAAATAAAATCCCGTTGTCTTTGCTGTTTCTCATCCTCATAGCAGATATAGATAAAAACAGCGGTGACGAGGCTTCGTATCATCCCTTATTAGTCCTTACCAAAATAAGCATGAAAGTCTCTTCAGTAGAAGACATGTACAAATTAAAAGTAGGTATCGATAAGTCTTCAAAAGAAGCACTGGATACCAAACACATGAGAACCATTTCATAGAACGAAAAGAACATGTAAAAAGACTTGGTTATAGTAATATCAGATGTCCCATCATTTTGAGAACACAAGGCGAATACCGCAAAGCCAGAAAAAACACAAATAACCCGCACATAGGAAGCTGAAACTTACGACGCCAGTAAAATAACTCGTTGGACGAGAACTTTCAAAACAAGAGAAATCCTTTGGTGGCATAATTCAGTTCACTTGAATTCTCTCATTTAGAATTTTGTTCGATGATAACCGCTCACATAAAGTCGATAAAGTATTTAAACTTCTAGGAATGCCTCATATTACTTGGAATTATTCTCGAGAGCCAAACAAGAGAAGCATACCTGACAATGTATGAAGGGAACATAGTAATCCCAAACCTACGCACTTCCATTATAATATACTATAGTGACAGATACCGGAGGAAGTGTAAAATATACCCAGTGAAAAGAGGGGCGACATAGGCACATTAAGAGAATATGTCAACATCCGTGAAGCAAGACTAGACAACCTGCCAGCCGAAGATATCTAAAATATCGCCGAATCAAGTGTGGAAGTTTTCCAAAGGAAAGTGTGATGGATATGTGGACCAACAGCTTTGACTCGAAGCCGAGCTGCGAGGGTAGACACTAGAACCTTGGGGTGATGTTGGTGAATGATCATAGTATAATCTATAAAGAAATTCAGGAAAACTTTTGTAGTTAAGAAGGACGGTTCCTTCACTCCGAAAGTCGCGTGGAACATTGTAATTCTCGTGATATTAGCATGTCATGTTACTTTATTTTTATTGGTTTGAGAAAAATGTGAACAGGATTTTGTTGTCGTTTATTCTTCCACGATTACCCTACAAAAATATAACATCAGTCATGCTGGGAGTGTTCCTGAGTTAGTCGTTAGTGGTAGCCTCCGTATCCGTAGCCCTTGTTGAAGAAGGTGATGGCAGGGCCGTAGTGTTTAGGGTGTTGAGCCTTGCCGTAGTAGCTGACCTTGGCCACGTAACCCCTGTAGTGGTCAGCTGTGTAGTCCACCTGCGGCAGGAGAATTGTGTTAAGAATTGATTATAAAATTCTATTTTTGCAGGGTGTGAATAGTAATACAACAGGCGAACTGAACATAGACAATTTGAGGTAGTGGAACGTACCCTTTGTTTGCGACCGTCGGGGAGGTCAACGGTGTAGGAACCGTACACATTTTTACCATCGGACTTCTCGTGCTGGCCGAAGTTGGTGCCCTTGTAGCCGTCATGCACATTGTAGTCGTAATAGTATGGCAGAGGCTCCTGGTGCGCGAAACATCAACATTAGAACGGTCGCCAGTGAGAGTGGATTCAAGCTTGTCAAGGCTGTATTTTGAACTAAGTTTTCTTAAAACAAATTGTAATAACTCGCAAAATAAACTAAAGCACATATTATAATATTTAAAAATAATGAGTGTGCAAAGCTTAGTATTGTTTGCATTTTTTTTTTTAATTCGCCATTGTGACTAATGACAGACTGACATGGGGCGGGGCGAAAGACTCATGAGACGGAGGAGGAAGCTGCTTACCGTAAGGAGGCACCAGGATGTTATGAATAACTCAGAAGTGTGGACTCAGATATAGAGGGTGTGCAGTATGAGTGAATAATGGAACAGAAAGTGATGAGTGAGAGAATGGGGGAGACAATTATGAAAAACAAAATATTAGGTGGAATACTTAGGACAGCTATAGACATGGTTGAAATGCGATGATGAAAATCGGGTGGAATATGGAAATGAAGAACACAGGAGTCATAGGGATGTTAGGAAGTACTTAACTTTGTTTAGGTAACAAGGAAATACAATGAAATGATTGTGGAAGTAGCAGAGGCGAAATCAGTACGTAAAGAAAATTCACGGGAAAGGAATCACACAAGTCAGTTACTGGCCAAGAGTTCGGTGATTTTAGACGTACTGGTACAAACCAGTAGGCATGGTCAATAATACCCGGAACCAACAACGGGTAAAGGTACGTACCGACTTATAAACTGGTCCATAGTCACCTGGGTCAGCCATAGTCACGGCCACTACCACCAGGACTAAGCACACCTGGGGAAGATAAACCCTCGTGAGTTAACATTGTGTTTACTTAATAAATATTAAATATCAATATTTATAAACCGTGTATTATTACAGATAGCGAATTATCATTGTACTCGACTGTTCGATGAAGCAAAGCGTTTGTAATACGTAATTTATTTATACAGAATAAAACTGCATTATCTTCAGTTATTTGATGAGTTTGTTTTAAATTTCTTGTTGTTTTGTCTGTGTTGTAATCAATCGAAGAAAATTGTAATATTCAGAAGAAAGGGAATACTGTTTTACCCTAAAAAAATTAACAAGGATAACAGCCCAGTCATAAATTTCCAAATAATGGATATTGATAACTAATGATCTTTGTGTTTGTTGTGGTAACTGAATTTTCATGATAACGAGGCAGACCTTGAAGAACATGGCTGTAAGTGTGTAGGGTTGTTAGGCTGGAGCTGCTGGTCGTGTGAATGATTTGTGTGGTGAACTTCTCTGCTTATATACCCCCATTGACACTCACGTTGTCAACTGGTTCTCCACCCACCCCCCACCCCCGCTTCCCCTCTCCTCTCTCTCCGTGGCCCTTCCTCTCTCTCTCTGATATCTGCTGGCCTTCCTTCTACCTCCCCCTATTTTCTCCTGGCCCTCTCCCTCTCTCCCTCCACTCTCTAAGTTTTTCTCCCCCACTGTTTTTCCCTATGTTTACCCTCTCCTTCTACTCTTTATTTTAATTCCTCTTCTGTTCCCATATCTGGACTTTCCTTACCGTCCTTTCCTCTTCTTCCTTGTTGCTCCTTCCCATTGTCTGATTTATATTACACCATTTATCAACATTTATGCATAGGAACAAATCATGTTAATACATACACACACACACACACACACACACACACACACACACACACACACACACACACACACACACACACACACACACACACACACACACACACACACCACGTGTAAATTCTTTCATTATCAGGGAACCTGAAAAATGTGAGAAATTACGAAAGTGCTTGGAATTTCATATTTTTAGTGGCTATTTTGCATATATAATGGAGATATATCAGGTGTCAGAAACTAAGCACGAAATAATTTTAACCCCTTTAATTACAATTTATATCTAACGAAGATAATTAAAGAGTTTTATATATATATATATATATATATATATATATATATATATATATATATATATATATATATATATATATATATATATATATATGCATGCATGCATGCAAAAGTAACCACTGTGAAAAAATGGTTAATTTCCAATGTGAGAAATCATGAAGGCGATTATAAATTCATTATTTTTATTTTTTGCGCTTTCGAGATTTCTTATATCACGAAAGTGCTTGCTACTTTTCATTTGATTATATTACACACACCACACACAACAGGTGAGTACACACACACACAGGTGAGTACACAACACACAACACACACACACACACACACACACACAGTCCCAGAGCTAAGAGGTATGTCCTACGAGGAGAGGTTAAGGGAAATCAACCTGACGACACTGGAGGACAGGAGAGATAGGGGGGACATGATAACGACATACAAAATACTGAGAGGAATTGACAAGGTGGACAAAGACAGGATGTTCCAGAGATTGGACACAGTAACAAGGGGACACAGTTGGAAGCTGAAGACACAGATGAATCACAGGGATGTTAGGAAGTATTTCTTCAGCCACAGAGTAGTCAGTAAGTGGAATAGTTTGGGAAGCGATGTAGTGGAGGCAGGATCCATACATAGCTTTAAGCAGAGGTATGATAAAGCTCACGGCTCAGGGAGAGTGACCTAGTAGCGATCAGTGAAGAGGCGGGGCCAGGACTCGGACTCGACCCCCGCAACTTCAACTAGGTGAGTACAACCACACAGGTGATACACACATCACATTACTTACATCACATCACGACATCACACACACACACACATCACACACACACACAGGTGAGTACACACACACACACACACACACAGGTGAGTACACACACACACACCATAAGACTGTTATGTATTTTTGTTTAATACTATTTAGCGAAAAAGATCAAACATGTCCTCCTGTAAACTAGTACACAGAACTCCAAACCCGCGTTTAACAGAGTTCATTCACATTTTATTTTTCAGAATTTTGAGGATAAGTAATCCTAAATTCTTTTAGATGTTTAAAAAATCCAGAATGTTGCATTCACATTCTCACTTATGTTCATGGACAAAGATTTCAATAAAGGTAAGGATGAATACTGTACTACTGACCCCCTGATATAGGAAGTATTTAACACTTTGTGGCACCATATAATTGCTCACGGAATCTTGTGGGAGTCCAGAATAAAGGCCCTTATCTGAAGGATGGAAAGCTTTACTTTAAGAATGCAGTATGTATTCTTTACGGAAAAATCGTTGATCTACCTTAGTGTTACTTAATATTATTGAATTTAATAATTTGTTTGTTACATCATTCTTGGTGGCCTGGTGGTTAACGCTCTCGCTTCACACGGCGAGGGCCTGGGTTCGATTCCCAGCCAGAGTAGAAACATTGGACGTGTTTCTTTCAACCTGTTGTCTATGTTTCCCCATCAGTAAAATGGGTACCTGGGTGTTAGTCGACTGGTGTGTGTCGCATCCTGGGACACTGACCTAAGGAGGCCTGGTCACAGACCGGGCCGCGGGGGCGTTGACCCCCGGAACTCTCTCCAGGTAAACTCCAGGTATGCCCTAAAAAATTGGTATATAATGTTTATGCAGTCCTATCCTTTGGAAAAAAATTCACAGTAAGTACATTTGTTAATGATTTGACCAAAAAAATTGGTATACTATATTTTTATATTCTGTAGAGGTTATACAAGGCTTGGGTGATGGAAGGCAGGCAGTTTGTGTACCATAACATGAATAAATTTTGTGTAAACTGCAGTCAGATACACGACTCCGCTAAGTAGATTGTCTTAGACAGGCTTTAATTTAGTCTGCAATTATTGTTTACTTGCTATTGTAAATTAATTTGTTTATATATTATTTTTTGGAACTTGCTGAAAATTTCAATGCTAAAGTTCATAAACTGGATCTTGTCCAGCCAAGTTTTAATGTGTATTTTATTTTTCTTTAATTAAATTTTTTTAATTATTCTATTATAAAGATTTTTGAAGGTATTTTGATAGTTTAGTAGTTTATTTGCCTCCAAACTGAGCTTTACTATACATTTTGCGGGCTTGTATATAATAATTTTTTTTCGTTGTGCTATTTTTGTATAATTTCAATCATGCGTTTTACCGTGATTTTTTTGTAATGGATACAACTCGTTCTTTCCTAAGGTTCTCTGCACAATTTCGCCATCTTGTGTTTCATTAATAATTTTCTTTCTTCTTAAAACACAAAAATAAGTTACGATTAAGATTTCTTATTGTTTTTAATGAGCACTCCATTAATGTGTATTGCAAATCAGGTTTATTAAATTGATAAACCATTTGAACATTATCAGTTTTTTGTACTCTAAAAAACACACTGAAAGCTGAGAATAAGTTGGGTTTCCAACGCATAACCTCGACGAAGTTTAGCTTTACACAAGCTTTTTCCCGTCAGTGGATTAGCCATTTTACATACACAGTCTGGACTTTTACCATGCTACTTTCACCATTCTACAGGGCCGTGAATTGTCTCCCTTATTTATTAATAATAAATGGCTAAGTTTTTCTTCTTCTCTTTTTTAGTAAATGTCTACAGGAGAAGGGGTTACTAGCCCATTGCTCCGGGATTTTAGTGCCTCATACGACACGCTGGCTTACGGAGGAAAGATCCTTTCACTTTCCCCATGGACAATAAAGAAATAAAGAAGACCATAGAGCTATTTAAAAAAGGAGAAAAACCTAGAAGTATGTAAAATAATATGCATGTGCTGTCTGTGGAGTGTTGGCCAAGTGTAATTAGGAGTTGCAAGTATCCCGTTTCTAGCGTGTTTATGAGACAGAAAAAGGAAACCAGAAATCCACATCATGCAAAACAGTTACAGGTTTCTGTTTCAAAAGTCATCTGGCAGGACGTAGTATTCTGGGTGGTATGCTGTTACCAACATACGTACCGCAGCCCGAACTTGAGTCCTGGAGATAGGAAGTACAGTGCCTGCACTCTGAAGGAGGGTGTTAATGTGCAGTTAAAACTGTAGGTAAGCACCCTTCTGCAGACATGATGAATAGTGTGAAAGTTTTTCTTTTCGGCCACCCTGCCTTGGTGGGAATCGGCCAGTGTGATAAAAAAAAATAAATGGCTAAGGCATTCAGGTACTGATTTCGGCTTGCAACCCCCTATGAACAACAGCCTGGTTGATCACGCAGTCATTAAGGCTAATTTCAGGCTGGGCTGCGAGAGCAGAACCCTTAACACTGGTCATACTCCCCACTAACAACTCTAAACGCTAGATACTCTGGAATGACCCTATAGTAGAAAATATAACCTTAAAAATGTCCGAGAAAGTGTCAAGGAAGAACAAAAATCCTCGAGAGCTCGTCATGAGGGCGATTTTCTGGCATTCTTGTAGTCTTCGCCTTCCCGTTCATCAGAGGGAAAGATCGCAAGGCATGAAGAAGTTAACATCTATATCAAGAGAAGCCTTGCAACAATTGGATGCTTAGCAACAACGTAGCCGCCCCAACTATGCTGATCCGATGGAAGTCAAAAGAATTCATATGCAACTTTGCAACTCTGGACAGATGGCAAGCTGGTAGCGTAGGTCTACACATGCACATCCATAATAGCTGACACCTATCTCTTATACGGCAAGGAGGTACTGCCGCCAGCTTTAGCAAGTCCTAAGAGTAAAAAATGAAGTAGAATTGCTCACTGTTACGAGCTCTCATAGTTGAGATCCTCGGTTCGTCATCTGCTGAGGAGGACCTCATTTGCAGGTTGTACTATACAGACAACTGTTACTGTGTTTTTCTGCTTCTTTGTGTGTTCAACCTTACACACAAAACATTATATTATCTGCGTCCAGAATAGGATTTGAACTTGTGCACTCTGCAGCATTAGCGCAATACTTTTGCCACATAGCTAAACACCAGATAAGGTTGGGCGCCTAGTAGAAGCTAAGCGTTGTATCCCATTCTCCTGGAGCACCAGGCTTGTGGCGACAGTACTGTGTACATTGATGCAGTGTGCGCAGGTTCGAATCCTGTTCCGAACTGAAATATAATGCTTGTAAAAGGTGTATTAAATGGAGATGGAGGGAAAGTGATATTGTAGATGTCTAAGGAGCAGTTGGAAGGAGTGTGTAAAAAAAAAAATCCTGATTGTTGCCTTAACAAGAATGTGTGAGCATGTTAATTCTGAGAAACTGGAAGCCATTGGGTCTTGAGGTTTAAGATGCTGTTGGCGTGATCTTGGAATTACCAGTTAAATGATTCAGAAAGTCATAAGATGGAATTTAGTTTTGTAGATAGAAAGAAAGGTTCTTGCGCTTTGAAAGTTGGGCGGGGATGTTCTGGTTCAATAGGTCATCATGAATAACTATATCAGTGCTCTTTTGGAAACACTGCTAGAGGGCGAATTAAATCTTCGTTAAAGTCTAAGAAAAACATACACTCAAACTTATTGTTATCGTTTATTCTTCCACGTTTACCCTACAAAAATATAACATCAGTCATGCTGGAGTGTGTTCCTGGGTTGGTCCTCAGTGGTATCCCCCGTGTCCGTAGCCCTTGAAGAATGTGACGGCGGGGCCGTAATGTTTAGGGTGCTGAGCCTTGCCGTAGTAGCTGACCTTGGCCACGTAGCCCCGGTAGTGGTCAGCTGTGTAGTCCACCTGTCGCATGAGAATTTTTTTTGTTAGTAATTGATAGTATAAAAACATTTTATGGATGGTATAAACTATAAAAAGTAGAACAGTAGTCAACAAACTTGGCCCAGGGCCGGGCTGCGCGAATAGACATTCTTGAAACCTATTTAAAGGTAGATAGTTTAAGGAGGCAGAACGTACCCTTTGTTTGCGACCGTCGGGGAGGTCAACTGTGTATGAGCCGTACACATTTTTACCGTCGGACTTTTCATGCTGGCCGAAGTTGGTGCCCTTGTAGCCATCATGCACATTGTAGTCGTAGTAGTAGGGCAGCGGCTCCTGGTACGAGAATGGTTTCCAGTAAAAGTGCATTCAGGCTTATCAAGGTTGTATTTGGAATTGCTACTTCATGTATTTGTTAAAACAAAATTACAGGGATCGTGAAACCCCCCCCTCTCTCTCTCTCTCTCTCTCTCTCTCTCACTCACTCACTCACTCACTCACTCACTCACTCACTCACTCACTCACTCACTCACTCACTCACTCACTCACTCACTCACTCACTCACTCACTCACGCACGCACGCACGCACGCACCCACCAAAAAATAAAAACATGAGTTTCCTAATCGTGTTCATAGAAGGAATACTTAGTCGTTGATAATTTAGAACGCAAGCAGTCACCTGAAAGAGCGAATACTGCAGTATTCAAAGTAAGTGAAACAATTACTGGGTGTAGTCAGACAACAAGCGATAGAACAGGACGAACTAGAGCTAGAGCTTTTAAATATATGTATATAAAGCTATTCAATTATGACTTTTTCAATACTGGAAGGAAAAATTGTCGAAAAATTGAATATTGTGCCTATATTTAAAATAGTGATAGTGGTATCCCTTTAAATGCTAGGCTAATCTCATTGAAATATCTGGTAAAATTACTTAGTCATTAAATATGAATAGAACAGTGAAGAGTGCAGAAACCAACTAGCAAATGAAATATATTTTTAATGAGAGAAGTGCTTCATTGCGGACTTAATAAAGTATTGAAAGTAACTGAAATTATTTTAGAAAATGTTGGATACCCGTATTGCATTTTTAATGCAAGAAATTTTTCAAATGCTTCCCTTGAAGAAAATACAAAAATACGAAGAATGTAAGGTAAGGAATTACAGTGGATGAGGGATGAATTGAGATAAATTGAGCAAATAGTGATAGATGATTATTGAATTTGATGTAGATAAGTTCCATGCAATTGAAATTATTTATAATAGGTCATATGGAGAATACAAATTGTTAAGGAATATTAACGTGAGAGACTGAACGAGACTGTGATTCATTGGTAATAAAGGCTTATTACAGGAATATATAAATTATTCAGCAGTATTATTGTGTTCACACTGGAACGTTGGAATGACTTACAAAACGAGCAAGTGCTAAAAACACTGAAATTTGGAAAAAAAAAATATATATGGCAAATTTAATATGGAACTAGGGACATGGGATAACTTCTCATACAGCTAGAAATTGACAAACGAATCCACAGTTAATTACAATCTGAACAAGGTTAACATATGCCTTGAGGATCCTGAACAAGTCATTCAGGATACTGTATACTGCTAATGTGTTAGTCTTATAATATACAGCGCCAGCGTAGAGCCCCACACCCAGATGAAAAGACAGAATATTTCCAAGCTCAGTTGTTTTCCACCAGATTGATCTGAGAGCTGAGAGACATGAACCACGAAGAAAAAAACCTGATGAAGCTAAATCTCTTAAGACTCTAGCAACGAAGAAACAGGGAAAATATGATGACTATGTAAAAAGGTACTGCAGTGAAATAAATCTAGAAATGGTATGTTATGCTACAAGAGGCAAGAAACTAGTAACGCCGATTGAAGTAGCCTAGCAGCCTGGGTCCGGAGAGGAACTCTTCCCTTCAAACACAAATTGATAAGGGTACAGACACGATGGTACGAGCTCATTCACATAAATACATTCCCAAGTCTGAGACAGAGTCGCGTAGGCTATTATCCTGGGATCATTACCAGGTAAACAGGTTATAGTACGTACCGATTTGTAGACTGGTCCGTAGTCACCTGGGTCGGCCATAGCCACGGCCACCACCACTAAGACCAAACACACCTGGAGGAGATGAGTCCTCGTGAGTCAGTGTCGATTCAGTGGACATTTATTGAATTAAATTTTGCTCAGCAAGACATTGAAGTGAAGAGTTATAATCTTTAACTTGTTTACAAAACTAAGCCCAGAGTGACTTTAATTATTGGTAAGTTTTTTTTTATTTCTTTGGATTTTAATGAATTTCTGCTAGAATAAAAGTTAGAAAAAATGCTTAGAAGAGAATGCTTTAACTGAGCGTCGTTGACAGGGATAACAGTATCTTTTTGTCAAAATTTCGGATATGAATTGTATATAATTTGAAGTGTGTTCTGCCAACTAAATTGTCAAATAACGAGGCAGACCTTAAAGAGCATGACTGTGAATGTGTAGGGCTGTTAGGCTGAAGCTGCTGGTCGTGTGAATGACTTGGGTGGTTGAACTGCTGTGCTTATATACCTCGCTGACACTGACGTTGTTAACAGGTTCGCCTGGCCTTCCTCACTCTCTCCTCCATCAGACCCACCCTCTCCCCGTGGTCTTTTCTTCTCCAAAGTCAGTGTCACATAACTGGTTGATAGTGATAACATATTTTGAAACCATGTACTGTATATAAATAAAATATTTATATTTTGTGTGATTTGTAACACAAACTTGTATATTGCATTCTTCACTCGTTCACAACTGTTCAACTCGTTACCAACGTTATTAAAATAAATGGACGACTATCTTCAGTGTCTGATCAACCAGGTTGTGACGGCAACATTATGTGGACTTGTAGGCCACTAGAATCACTGTAATAGTTAACTAGGGTGTCAGCAAGGAAGTCTGGCATCAGACTCGGGACTGAATGTAGAACAACTCTTGGAAGAGGTCACGGGTATATCATAGGTACACGTAATTAAAAGCATGAGCGTAATTAAAAGCACGAATACACTTAGAAACTCTTACTATGAATTCGTTACCTCAGACTTATAAATGACCAACATTCGTGTAATGAATATTTATATTTGAAATACCATTAATAATATTTTATTACCGTTGGATGTTAACAAGAGATGACATGAATATTAATGTTTTTCATGCTGGAGACTAATAGTTTTAGCCATTATGGCCATGAGTAGAATGTGTATTAGGTTTAAATGTCCTCTGATTAATATCATATAAATCACTACTGGATTTGGTGTCCGTTAGATAACTTGGGAAAGCTCTTTCTGGTCGACTCTAAAACTGCTATATCCTACATACTAGGAGGCGGGGGCCTGAACGGCTTGACGCTTTAACGGCTGGTGAATTTTTAGGGATAATATGGCACCCAACAAGTTTAGGCTTTGTAGATGCAGAATTACTAAGTTCCTAATAATGTTGAAAAACTTGAAATCATTGGATTCTGGACAATAATTGGAAAGTCTTTCGTGATCGGATTCAATTTTCCGTGACTGGTGGGATTTACTCAAAGGAACGTTTGTAGTGATTTTGGGCTGCCCATGTAAACGAAACGGCCTCTTCTTATCGGTTTCAGATCATAAAGACTGGTTTGAAATGGATCAGGAGTTTCCATTCCTAATTCCGTGATGATTTTCTCTAAAGAACCATCGCTTTAAACGTTCCAATACACTTTTCCTTACAATCTTTTCCATAACTTTTGATGAAAATATGCATGTCAGTGCCTCCTTTCTGTCATATATATATATATATATATATATATATATATATATATATATATATATATATTATAATATATATATATATATATAAATTATATTATTTGTATGGGGAGCACATTATTTTTTTTCAATTCTCTGTCAGCTGACCTAATTGAAGAAACTTGAGGATTTTTGCTGTTGGTCACAATGGTTCCCCTCCTTCTTTCGGTACTCATTGGAATTGCTGTCTTCTCTTTAGTAGTTATATAAAGTTTTCTTTTGCTGTGTGATGCTTTCTAGTTCCTGCTAATTTGTTTCACATTCTCTAGGTAGCTCTTCACTTGTGTGAAAACTTTTTTGAATCTTCTGCTAAGGTCTCTGCATATTTGTTTGTTATCCTTCGTTAGCTTCCCTCCCTCCTCCTCCAGCCTTATCACTTGGTTCTTTACAGTTGCCTTCTTTCCTAGAGATCAGAGAAGATGGGCTAAAGAGAGAGAGGAGATAGGGAGGGATCAATCTGTTTAGTGAGGCTGTTGGTGCGCGCTGTTCCCAGTTCATTGTAAGCACCACTGCCTGTCTGGCTAGGAACTCGTTACAGCTATAAGTGTATTAGTAATTTTACTTATTCTACTGGGAGGATGTTGGAAAATCTTGAACCCTCGATGCTATGGAGTTAACTCTTAGTGTAATTATTGCAGTCGTGATGCAGCAAGTTTTCCGTGCGCAGCTTACCGTACTTGGTAGGAGTATATTAGTGGGCTTTTTCCCATATTAATAAATTACAATAAACTCCACTTATTCCTCATTTTGTTCAATTTAATCAAGTCTCCTTGTTGGGGTTCGTAGGCATTTTTATCTTGCATGTGATGTTTCCATTATTCGTAGCATATTTACAGTGTTTTCCAGTGAGGACATACTCATATTACTGAATTTTCTTTAAAAATAAAATCCATCATCTAGTGTATTAGTTCGCATATTTCTCTGCTACTGTTCAGTTTCTAGATTAGTATTTTAATGGGGAACGTTATTAAAGCTTTAAATCTAGAGAGACACATATGATCATCCCACTATAAATAAATGTCATCAGCCTCGCTCTAAGGTCGCACAGCTTCTTTAGTGTAGCATAACCCAACGTGATATCGTGACTGATTACATTGCTTTTATTTCGTATCATATACATCAGAGCCCTTACACCTCTTTTTGTTTTTTATTTTCGTCTAATTATTATTATTCGTCCCCTTCATCCTTACTCATGGTATCTTTCTTATCATGAATCACGAAATCTTAGCACGATTACAAATAAACCAGGGAACGGGTGAAGTATGAACCCTCGGTGAGTGAGTCGTGAAACTCACTCGCCATAGGTTCAAACCCCACCATTCTGTGGTTTTTCTTCCCTATTCCTTGATAAATTTATTTTTCGGCCTTCTGTTTAGTTCGGCACTTACTTCCCTGCCACAATTTGTCAGATCCCTCTCGTCTTATGAGTCTTATTTGACACTTGACTATTATCTTGTGTGGCTCTGCATACCCTTCACTTCTGTTTTGACCTTTACTGTTATATCATTTTTATCTTTCAACTTTTCTTCTTATCTCTACAAAGGTGTTCCTAGCTCTCCTGCTTAGTTTCCCTGTTTTCTGCTCTACTCATTTTTCTATGCTTCCATATTGTTTTTCTCGTAGCCTTTGCTTCTCTAGATTTTTTTTTTTTGTCTTTATAAACCATATTGTGTTTTGTGTATCCTTTTCATCTTTGCTTACTTGAATCTGCTTGTGACTTCTTTTGTATATTACTTGTCTTATCTTCTATTTTTGTTTACTTAATATTATTCAGAAACGTTCATTCCTATCCAGTTACCACTGTTTTTTTTCCTTGTTTCTTTCTAAGCTCTTACTTATGTTCATTTTCATTTTCATTTTCATGAAGTCGAAACGAAGCATAGAACCATATGGTTACTTGCTCTTGGTGATTCCTCGTTAAATTTTCTGTGGTCAGTCTCCTCCTCGTGTCCCTGTGATGTCTACAGCATGTTAGCTCAAGTAGTTTCTCATTACTGCTGTCATCAGCTTTTCTTTTTGATTCACTATGTGCGTTCCAGTTCACCCATTAATTTTCCTATTAATTGAAGTCTCGGAAGTTTTGTCCTTGGTTTATTCGCTCTTTATCTGCTTCGTCCAGGATTTCTATCATTCTCCTGGTGTTTTCCTCCTGTTCCTGTCCTACTTATCTTTGTGCTAAGTGATGGATTTTTAAATTGCTGGTAGTTTTGTATATGCCCTTGTAAAATACGCGTAACATTAGATTTTTGCCCTTTATAATGTTTTACTGTAAGTATATTTAAAAAAAAAAATTATGTTTACTGAGTGTTTTAAAATAGTCTAAAACACTCATAAATGTACACTCACTTACGAATAATTTTTTTATAATATTATTGCATGTTTTATATCCAGTAATAATATTAAAACCAACTAACACATATTATGATATGAAATAAATAATTGAATACATAGTTTTGGATTTCAGTGATACATTTTCAGATCATTTTCGTTTATTCCTCCACATATACTCTACATAAATAAAATAGTTAAGGTTGTTAATGTTCCAAGGTGTTAATGGTATCCGTAGCCCTTGTTGAAGAAGGTGATGGCGGGGCCGTAGTGTTTAGGGTGCTGAGCCTTGCCGTAGTAGCTGACCTTGGCCACGTAGCCCCTGTAGTGGTCAGCTGTGTAGTCCACCTGCGCCAAGAGAAATTTTTTTTTAACAGCTGGCTTTACAAATGTTTATTCTTGATGGTATAAATGGTAAAGCAGTAGGTGACCTTAATGTGGATAGCTTGAGAAAGTTGAACATACCCTTTGTTTGCGACCGTCGGGGAGGTCGACGGTATAGGAACCGTACACAGCTTTACCGTCAGACTTCTCGTGCTGGCCGAAGTTGGTGCCCTTGTAGCCGTCATGTACACTGTAGTCGTAGTAGTAGGGCAGCGGTTCCTGAAATTTAATTACACTGTATTTTCGAAAATTCATTGGTGAAAAATATTTTTCATTCCTAACCTTATTTTGAAAGAAAGGCATATTGCTATTATTTCATCGTTAATTACAGTTAAAAGTATCATTTTATCACACGTAAGACATGTGAAACTGCCAAAACTTACTGAACGAGGTTTGTAAGAGAGAGTAGAATATAACCAGTGGAAAGCAGAAGTCTCATAAACACAATTAGAGAACACAGTCAACAGCCGTGGTCCTTGACTCAGAAATATTACCGGAAAGAAGTTAGGAAAGAAAACTGGACCAGTATCTCCTGCAAATGCCTCATCAGCTGGGTTGTGATGAGTTTGTTGGCCTGAGGGTCGCAAGCACCATCCTGATTGATGAGGAAGTTAACAAGGAAGCTTGGCTCCAGACTAGCCTGCGAGGGTAAAATAGCTCTCGAAACCAGTCGTACATACTTGTACTAATATCAGATATCATGAAAATCCTCGAGATGCTAAGAACTCAGTTTTATAGCCATAAGGTTCATTACACAGGTCAACATGGCGAAACAGCAGGAAGATGAATCTCTTGCAACTACTCAACCAGTTTGTGATGGATATATGAGACAGCGACCTTCAGCAACAGCCTGGTTGACCAGCTAGCACCAGGCGAGCCAGGCCCATGGCAGGGCTCTGGGAGTAGAAAGACTCGAAACTCATCAAAGGTATACCCAGTCTCGAGAGACACTGGGAAAATAAAATTGCATACGTTGTGTTCACGAATTTTGAGAAGTCAGTTGGCTAATGCCATCTAGAAGTGATAGCTAATAAATTGAAGTCAACCTACATAACAGGTACATTAAGAAATGTATATTTAAACTTCTGAGAAACAAATTACAAAGACTGATTGTAAACGATTCAAAACCCTGTTTTGAGAGTATTGAAAAACTCGGGTCCACAAAGCAGTTTTTTTTTTTAGTTATAATCTTTAACTATAAACTAAAACACCAATCACAGCTATTGTGACCATAAAAAATGTTGTACTCTCTAATATGAAGATGAAACTCGTAACCTGTTACGTGAAAAAGAGTTAGAAAGTCAAGCCTCATAATGTGCATGCTGAAAAACCTTAACAGTGTGAAATAGGAATGGACTTGTATAATAATGAAAATTAGAGGGGACGTACACAGAGAGGATATCAACATCCCACGACTCTCCAACCTTTTACCAAAATTATACGAAATCTTAATATATTAGTCTCAAAGTAGCACATTAATTCTCAGCAGGTAATGCAGGATCTTCCAGACTGTGATGGCTAAGGAGGTTTGCAGACCTCTGACAGGAATAACTTGGTTATTAATAGAAAATCTCCCAAAACTATCAACGGGTTGTGTGTTACCTATTAATGGTTTTGGGGAGTAGCTTCCCCATGACCCGGTCTCAGACCACGCCGTTGGAAAAATGAATATTATAGGATTAGGCAGTATTAAGAAGCACGTAAGAAAGTAAAAGTATGTATATATAGAATGTAAGTAACAGTTCATAAGATTTACCTTTTATCTTAGATCTTTCAGAATCAGTCAAAGGAGCAATTCAACATACATCGTCGTTTTTAGCCTTAAAAACAAGTTTGATTCATCACAGCTATTTTACTGTCAGTAGCAATATTATTTACTCAGCTCGGCGATATTCTCTTAGGAACAAATAAGTCTGAGAACTAACCGACTTGTAGATTGGTTGGTAATCTCCAGCATTAGCAGCAGCAGCCAGACTCAGCACCACCAACCCTGCGAAAGCGACCTGAGAAAAAGAGCGGCAGGGCTTGGTCATTCATTTGACAGATCTATAACCAGTGTGCAGGTGTGTGGTATTTGAGTGAGTTTTACTTGTAGGGGAAGAGCAGTTGTGTGTGTGTTTGGGAAAGATAGGTGTAGGTAAAAGGTAATCTTTGTGTTGATTAATGTGGTGTCTGTATTTTTGTGTGTATACGTATAAGGGCTTCAGTTATATGTATGTGGATGAATGAGCGGGTTTATGCAGGGTGGACGAGTGTTGGTGAACCAGTGAGATGGTGAGTGTTTTGTGGATGCGTGAAAATTTTGAGATACACGAGTTAGCGAACGAGATAAATCATGTTTAGCTCTTTCTTAATAATAATAATAATAATAATAATAATAATTAATAAGAGACATTTGGTGTATACTGTATGAAGAAATTTACTTGAGTAAATATATTTAATGCCTTAATAAATTAATACACATTTTTTTAAGTTATTGAACCTAATACTAATATAAAATTTGTCATGTGATGCACGATTAAGTTGACACATTGCAACTTTCTCTTTTGTACGTTGCAAAAAAAAAACTCGAACAGTTAAAATTTCTTCAGATACATTGCCTAAAAAATGGCAAATGAATTAATGACGAATTTCACATGGGAAAGTTGAGAGCAGTGTTCGTAAAGTGAAGAATTAGATTCATGCATAATATCGTTACAAAATTATGTGAATTGATTGCACTGTAATATATTTTTAAATGATTCTTGATAATGATAAACTTTTGTAATTGTTTTAGGTATCTCCTGGAATGTTTTTCATACTAATAAAACTTATCAGTTGTTTGTAATAGATTTTGGAATGTTTTCTAGTGAACTTTTGGAATTTTTTAAAATCTCTCTGAATGTTTTGTAACTTTAATGAACTTCTGAAATTGTTAGGAATATTCGTTATAAACAATTTAAGTCTGGTGGAATATAGCTGCTTTTAGACTCTCTCACGAAAAAACTACCAGTATTTTTAACTTATATTGATAAAATAATTATCATCGTATTAACATACTACAACATACTAGCTTGTAAAACATACTCGATTGAATGTGCTAACTTACTAGCGCCGGAAATTATATTAAAATACAAACATAAATATTAAATTGTTTAAATTTAAATTAATTGCGTACTAGTAGGATTTATTGCTAAGCTTAAATTGTTGTATACATTTTTAATGGGCAAGTCTAGTTTCGTATTGGCAATTACTGTCAGGCAAACAAATATAAGTATCATTGACATTTACATCTTTCGGATTATATTTAATTTTCGTGCTAATAGCAGAAGTGCCCAATGTAGCATTGATATTAAAAACGAAGTATTTGTCTGATTATAATGTTTCAAAATTCACCAGAACTAGAAATATTTCAATTGTCAGTTGTTGTAATAAAGAACTTGCCTTGTGGAACATATCGGTGACTGGTAGTACTGTAGAGTTGTGAAGGAACACTGTTGCTACGCAGTCACTAGCTGGGGTTTATATACTATCACAGCTTCGGCTGGTGTTCTTGCTTGACACGACGCCACGTAGACCCTCCCTCACATAGTGTACGCCTCACTGACCTGCTTCCCCCTACCCCCATTTTCCTCAACAAACCCCACCTTCACACACCCCCATCCACACCTGACTTGCACTGCACGTGACATCTGACTACGAGTGACCCGTTGTGTCATGTTTTTGTTATATTCGTTATGGCGTAAGGATAAAGAATGGAGATATTGTCTTTGTCGGGCTTTGCTGACTACGAAAAATATATAATGATGAGGTGATTTACGAAACGGCTCTGTCTCGACTGACACATATCTGGCTACTGTGTAACATCTCGGGTGCCTGGAAGTAGGTTTACGGGACGTACGAAGAGTTGGAAAAAGGTTTTCAGATGTTTTGGTTTGATCATCCAGCAGTTGTGTGTGAAAGTGTTAAATCAAAGAAGTGACGAGTGGCTCTTGGGGTTAACGTGCTGTTGACTGTCAGGTACTATGAAGACATTTAAAGAAACACTATTCTTGCACACATTAAAACTCTGGTGATGCAATTTGGTGGGTCATTTACATTCCTGATGTCCGTGTACTTCTGGTGAGGCAGCTATGTAGGACGCAAATGATGGTGAATGTTTTTTTTTTTTTTACTTTCATCATTATTCCTTGGTGGGAAAACAACCGGGATATTAAAAAAAAACATACACACTACAGTACTGTGTACACAGAAGCCACCTACAACTCGCTCACATTCCCTAAACGCTTGAGCATAACTATTTCTCCTGCAGCCAGACCAAGTTTTTTTTTGTATTTTCACCAGATGTTGTCGACTGTCCTCTTCACAGCGTTGTTACTTGTCTCTGTGTGATCGCTCATCTCTTCTTATGTATTGATTTTATCATACGGCTCCAGGTCAGGCTCCGAGAGCAGGAAGACACTTGAAACCTGTTACAGGTGCATAATCGGTAAATTCATGGTGTGTATTGGCTGGTGTTTGAGTTAGACACGCACGGTAAATGAATTTTTTAAATAAGATTTTTTGAGAGATTACAGTTTACACCTGTATTTTCAAATTTCTTTCAAGTTCTTTGTCTCGTTCTCCCGTTCTAGCCCCAATCCCCCCTTGTTCCACAGGTGCTCTGGCTGTGTCTTCCTTCATAAACTATGTATAAAGCATTGTAATATTCATGTGTTCGAGGAAATATCGACTAATAAGGATTTTTTCTAAAGCCATCAGTTTCCTGCAGGACTCATTACTACAGTAACTTATTGAGGAAACAATGTTGGGGTATACTTCCTGGACCCATTATAGACCTCTGATCTTTCGACTACCGCCTTCAGGATTTGTATCGGGATCGTTAGAAGGCTTTCACGTCAATCACTTTGTAATCTTAATCTCTAAGTTATGTGTCTGCATATACGTATTTGTATATGTATTTTTGTATTTCTAGTTTTTAAACAGAAAAGTTTTTCTCGTTATGTCAGATCAAAACGCGTTAATAACAGCAATATTCTGATATACTTGTACATAACAGATACCTACGTTGACAACTGCATCATTAGTCTTACATTCATATATTTGTCTTTGTTGCAGGTGAGTGTCCGGTGGTGCTCTGTAGGTCAACACTTGTCAGGTAAGTAGTGCCAGTGTGAGCAGTATACCCGTGATACACATGTTACCAGTTTTGAGTCTTCCTATCTCAACAACTTGGCCTGTGGCCAGACTTTTTTTTTTATCTTGCTTGCCTGGTCATCCAGGCTGTTGCTGCTGGCGACCCGCTGGTCCAGTGGGTCAACACCTGTTAGATAAGCAGTGACCTTGTGAACGTTTGTCTTAAGGAAGGAAGATAATTTTTTCCTAATTCCTTTATCAGCTGTTTATAAACTTGTTTGTGTGGTAAGTTTTATGGCACATTACCAAGAAGATAAAGACTAAAGATAATTGCAATAATACGGTGTTTTTCATTGGCATTTATACATATCATCTGTTATATTTTCCTTAGGCTTTATTTTTTTAATTGCTTTGCAGTAGTGTTGTAATGGTGGTGTTGTGTGTGACATTTAGTGAGAGAAACTCGTATCATGTCGAGTCGTCACCAGAGGCCTGGCTAATAATTTCGATAACTGCCCTAAAAAGTGAGATTTATTTGATAGTCGTTATTCACCTATACGTAATTAACTCTTTCCTCTCTTCGTCTCTCTATCCCAGTTGTTTTCTTTCCTCTCTCTCCTCTCGGACCAGCGAGTCTGAAGGTTAAGCCAGTGTTAGTTCTACCGTGGAGCGCCATAAGATCAATGACTTAAACTATTTACGTCGGTACTTTTAGACACCACCGTCCATACCAGCACATGCCAGCGGTTGCTACTTACACTTGTTATTGTTTCAGCGACACCACTCAACGAATCATCACATAACATCCCTGTCAGGTGATTTTTTTTTTCCATAATGCAATAAGATTCTCTTTCAGCACCCCATCTTCCCATTACTTCTTATAGAAAAGAGGCCTAAATTATGTAATGTCTGAGAGACATGAGAACCCTACCTTATTTTTCGTAAAGCGAAATATTGCGTACTTTGTGTATTTTTAATTCTTGGGCTTTGTTCTTGCTGTCACGCAACAGTGACGCAAGCAGCACAAATGGCACCAAAATGCTCTCGTGCTCACCAGCTCATGTGTTTACCTGTGTGGGCCCACCTTCAACTCAACAAAAATGAAAAAGAGGACCTTGAAGAGGTAATTGTTTTGTTTTGCATGCACGCGCACACAAGCATAAACACGAGAGTATACACGCTTGTGCGTATGTATGCTTCAGGAAAATTCTTATAAACGATGCCAATTTTTTCAGCAAAAAGACCAAGTCGAACTCGGGTTATTAGAAATGCTTGTTTACACTCTGACCACTCAGCCTTGGCAGCTACAATAAGAAATGGATTTTTTTCAGGCGATGTTATCAGGCGCCTCCAATAATAAAAGCGACTGCATTTTTACACATATATATATATATATATATATATATATATATATATATATATATATATATATATATATATATATATATATATATATATAAATATAGATACCCTTGTCCCATTAAGTCTAAGCAAAGTCAGTATTTCATAAAAATCATGGTAAACAATGCAACTTTTTCCAAGGTTTGGACGAGGATTCGAACCTGAGATGGTGTGTGTAAACTGAAAACTCTACCTGGAGACATAAGTTAACCAAATAATGAAGATATGGCCGTATATTTCGGCTTTTAATTAGGCTCTCTTCAGCAGGCCCTGACAATGGAGACATTTATTTGTACAACATTTTATTAAAGTACAAATAATGGTCTTGGGCATCAAAATTAATATACCACGATTTAACGTAATATAAAATAACATCTTTATCGAACATTATGAATTTCCACAACTTTCACAGTTTAACTTGGGAAAGAGAGACTTTTAGTTTATCTAGAATCACACACGTCTTCATTTTATTATTCTCTGTAACTCGCAAGGGAAATCCAAGCCAGTAAACCTAGACATGTATCAAACGAGGTAGATCATCTGCTTCTCCTGCGTATCCAGTATGTTAACTGGTTGCCACTATCCCACTTCCTAAACTGTTCTCAGCTTTTGAGGAAACATGGTTCGCTTCTAAAAGTATAAGTAAAATGAGGAAGAATACATGTGAAAGATTATGAGTGAGGAATGAAAATGTGTAAAAATGGTTCGAAATCAAGCATGAGTGGTATTAGAGAGGAGGCGATTAAATTGATAAAGGATAAAAACAACGTACAGAGAGAAGAATATATTTGCAAAAATGTACACTACATAAGTTGGGAGAAATAAACTTGAGAAAAGCGAGGCACAGAATAGGAGGGGCATTAAATTAAATGCGAACCAGGAAAATAACAATACGAGTGGAGCATAAGAATGTATGTTGGATTATAAAATGGAGCTGGGGAACTGTACGTTTTGCAAGAGCACTCGAGAAACAATAACACTGGTCGTTCCTGTTTGTTGTCTTGCACGACACTCGTCGACGAGCTGAGTTGAAAAACTTAAACACAGATATTTGTTATCACTATGAAAAATGTTTTTATGACTTTTTTTTTCTTCTTACCTACAGGAATCAGCACGACAAGGAAACTGTATTAAACATATATTCTGGATGTGAATGTTGTCTTTTTATGTTGGGTGTGACTATTTAAGAGTGTTGTTTCAGAGTTGGGACTTTGTTTCCCATGTTTCTCGGGGCTTTTAGTATACTAGACTTGTGAATGTGTGTTCGCGCTTGTGCGTGCATGAATGCTTGTGTGTGCGTGCGTAGACTAAGCGAGCGCGCACAGGGAATGGGAGAGACTGGGCATGAGACTGTGAGGCTGCAGTTCCGTCTGAGTAAGATGGTGAGGTGTGGTTAACACTGAGGTTGTTAATGGGTATGTGGGTGTGGTTGACATTATATTGATTTGGCTGTGTCGATGTGGTTTAAAAACCTTATGACATAATCTTTGAACTCTACAACCAAACGTAGTTGTATTATTTATTGAGTAGTTGTATTATTTATTGGGCAATACACATTTGCGGTTGTATAGTTGCGGCTGTGGTCGAGTTTACTTGGCTTGAATAAACTAATATAGACTGTGGTTGTAGTAGAGGAGAAGTTGTAGGATATGAGTTGTGTGCATGCAGGATAACAGTGCCATTTGTCCATTGTAATAATTTTTTTCTTGAACATTAAAAACAAGGTTTTTTATATATATCTGGGAAATTAAAAAGTCTGGTTGTGTATATATATGTATTTTGGGCACACGCCCCAGCTCTGAGGAGCTGGAGGAGATTTTCGCCTTATAATCGGTGATACACACGTAACAACATGTACCGTATATGCCACCTTTATATCAACAATGCATCTCTTAAATCTTCTGTACCATATTATGTAATAAAATATTCCTATTGGTAAAAAAAAAAAATAGAAAAGATGGGGTGGTAGGGGAAGTGGAATATTCAAACGTCTTCAGGAAGGAATCCAAATATTCTTCCTTGAAGCCTTTTTATCCACTTCTCCGAGGCTATGGGTCCTACAA